CGTTAGGACGACGACAGGTGCCATCAGGAACACCTACAAATCATTACATATGGGTGAAGTTAATCGTTATTCTCTTCGCTTACAAATGCCTGTTCATCGAATCCTGAACAAAATGAACCACAGAGAAACCATGATATGGATATTGAAGGACAAATCAACCCACAAACCACATCCAAAGACCTCACGAAAACGCAGGACCCATCATATAACAAAGTACAAAAGAGCATTGCATATGAAAAACCCCCGTGTTCACAAAATCTCATTTTCCCATAGCCCTTTAACTGATGAGCCCACCCTGTCAGCACGTGGCCCAATCTTACCATTTGGCTACGGTTGGGCTAGGTGTGTCCCTGGCCCAACCGCAATCCAGATTAATGCAGAAACAGTTCTTTGTTTCAAATTATGCATTTAACCGCTAAGATAAACTATATTAGGACTAAACTGCATAAAGCTAAGTATATAAAGTAGCCCTCATCGTCTAAACGCCCCGTCATGATGGCATGTCTTAATTTCATCCTAGCTCTACCCATATTGTGGTACTTAATCTGCTGCCTTTCCAACTTGTGATATTACTGTCTGCGCTTATTACGGGAAGTGGTAAAACGTTAAAAGACGAACTCCCCTGCGCATTTTTGGGAGCTTGGGCCACACCCCCCCTTGCCACACCGTGGCCCAACCATGTAGCCCAACCCAAGCCAACTGGGCCGGACTAGGTTGGCTTGGGCTGGGGCTGGCGGGAACACTTAAACTAAATGCTTCATTTTTGTAAATCACTATTTTAGAACAAAACTGTGATGTTATTACCTTATCTGATTTGCCCTTAATTAGTCCGCATCAGCCCTCTCATTAGAAAACTCCTTGGTTATCATTTGCGTCCCAAATTCCTTCTTGACAAATGATTATAATCGTTTGATTGGGCCAACTGGGCCACATTCGCCCTTGTCACACCGTAGCCCAATCCAGCCCAACCTTAACCCAATCTAGCCCAGTTGGGTCGGACTGGGTTGGGCTGGTGCTGGTGCTGGCAGGAAAACTAGGGCATTTTTAAACAACAATTTCACCAGCTTTGCCTACTTTCGAAAAATCTGAAGTCCCAAACAAGAACTCGAACAGTTTTCCATTGGACGACAAGACGTCGCATTCGCAGAAGACGAGGCGACTGCTTCTGTTCCCGAATATATTCTGGATTTGGCGAAACGCTGGCCGAGCAACTTCTCCAAGTCCATGTGACAGGTATTTCGGCAGAGGCTCTACTTACATTCGTCGGAATTTGTTGAAAATTAACTTTTCATTCGCCAACGAATACTAGCAGAGGCATCTCTAGTGGTATAGCTATATCCAGCATTTTTTGCTCTCAAGCAGTATTTTCTCGCTCGGACAGAAGTTAATATAAAATTTAAATTCCTGGTTTTTTGATGGATGAGTGTGCACGCCAGTGCTTGCATTACGCGAGCAAATATCCCATCTCTCACTAATAGAACTTCTTCAGCAAAATTTTTAGTCCATATAAAACCAGCTGCTCTGGCAAGGCAAATTATGGAGTAAAACTGGTGTCTCTCTTTGAAGTGTTCTCTCTAAATCAGTACCCAATGAATTTCGTTCACCGGCGTATGCAATGGCATGAAGTCAACTATGTCGGGTAGTCCCAACCCTCTAATCGATTAGGTACCAAAACCCTTCAAGTGGCAAAACCCTTCCTGCGCTACAAATGCAGCTGAACTCGCCGAAAAGCAATTAACTAAATATCTGATATTAGTGGCTCACAAACCTAAAGCGTGATTCCGCAACTTGCTTTTTAACTTAAGGACGCATTCGGGTGTTTGAATAGAAGTGCGGCCATCGGAGGGATAAAGTCTGGGCGGTATGATGGAAGTGATTGTGAAAAGAAAAACAGGGCAATGCGTATGCACCTGCGCACACGATTGCCGATAGGTGGTAAGGTGACAAAACCACCTCTATTCAAATGTCGTTTACGCGCTTGACTCAGAACTTAAATATATTCGAGGAGTGTAGAAGTTTGCTTGTCTTCGTTGACAAATGCAAGTTTATATGAGGTGATTTACTGTGATGGCCTTAGCCCCAGTAAGCATGTAGAAAGGAATATTGCCTATGAAGTCTCAAAGAGAAACGAAAATTCGGAGAACCAAGCCCGGTCCAATGTTTTCGTAGAACGAACGCATCTGGACGGTAGACCAGAACGGGAGTCAAATTTCAGGGTGGCATGCATTAGTTTGGTTGTGCAGAGTCCGCGCACACACGGCCACACACAGGAGGGTAGCGTAGTACGTCTAGGCGCAGGCCTCCCACCGCATAAAATCCCAATATTATATGATCAAGCGGCTCGGACAGTCTAGTGGGACATCAGAGATGGAGGAAAAAGAGTGAGATCGAATCTGCATTCTTCGCTATTAAAAGTCTGCTGCGCCTGGACCTATTTACGAGGGGTTAAAAACCATGACTTGGAAGGCTGCCATCTGAGAGGATATGTCGGTTCTCTCAGAACGGAGACTCAGACTACAATAGCTCCTTCTGGATGGAGCCTCCGTGTCACTATCACTCAGATGGAATCGGAGTCGCCGCCACTTAGGAGAGGACCCAGTACATGACTGTAGGGACCAGGTCGCGCCTGGCACAAGCGAATGTCTCTGATGATGGGTTCAAGTGAGAATCCGAAACGTCAGGCAAATAAACTTCTTGTCCCAGTGATCGCATCATCATCTTCTGAACAAGCGGGAGGGTTGTCTAGCTTTCTCGGTCACTGAGCCCGATCCCGCCACTGGTCGCCCTGATACTGTCTTGCCATCGGACCCAGGTGGGTGACGAGAGGAGAGAGTGAAACAGATGCTAACCAAGCCTCTTGTCACAGTAAACTAACTCACGAACATGTCACCGACCAGAGCCCACCAAGCTGTGGCACGCACGGTGGACATCATCGTTTGCTGTGGTCGAACTGTAGTTGGTCTTTTATGTTCGGCTTACGTGTAAGGACAGCCTTTGGAATGGATGTCGAAAATTAAAGAAATCATCTGTCTTCCGGAAGAACCTAACATTATTCATATTTTGATACTTAGAGATGCCTCACTCAAATACGTTGAGGGCAACATTGATAAAGCGAAACCCTCACATTTACGCCATGCAATTTGCACCTGGGATTCCAGTAGTAAGTTATGATCCGATTTTGCAAGTTTTTTCGGTTTCGATTTATCTGCATATATATGGATTTATAAGAAACAGAAGAAATAAGTGATATCGGGAACCATGATAACACTATTCTGAAGATGAAAAAACAGCCAAGCTTCTGCTGCAGGAAATGAAAATTGTACCTCGTCGGCAGTATTTATAGGGGTTAGAGGTAATGTCAACATGACGTTATAAAAGCGTCCCTGTTTTGGGACAGTGTTTAGGCTTTGGACCTCATCGCACACCTAAGCAGGGAGACCTCCTTTGCAGTCATTGTGAAGGCGGAAGGAGGTGAGTGACGGGCTGACCTCAATATGCACGCCTTTTTTCGGGGGTCAGCGTCCACACATTGGGGGCAAACGCCCGTATCCGCACTGACCTGAATTGTCGCCCATTGGACTGCCTTTCCCTCGTTTCTTGATGAGACCGCACAGGCGGCAATGCCATCGCCTGTATGTCCAGCGTAGGCTCGCTCATGTTTGAATTTACTTTTGGCCCAAGTTTTACTGTCGCTTCCCTTCAATCCTTCTCGACCTTGCAGTCGAAACGACCAAGAGTCAATTCGGCGAGACTGTCGAGACGGCGAAACGAAGGCATCTCACCCAACTCCCGAAATTCCGCCTAAAAGCAGACTTCAAAGTCGAAGTGAGCATGCACTAGCAGGTTATAGAGACTTCAGTGGGGCCATCGCTTTCAGGCTTAATTAAAGAGGCAGTTTTCCAAAGTGTAAAGACGCTAGTTAACTCAACACACTGAACAGCATGTTGAACTCGATATGCCGACGGTACTGTTCTCGTAAGAGAAATAATTTGAAAATCCCTCAATTCCGTTTTTTCGGACATTCAATTCGCAAATGAAGCGGGGAGAGAAACCAACCGGGCGCTCGTATCCATCCAAAACCCAGCGGACACCTAAGAACGACAATGCCCAGGACGACCACCAACATGCGTAAAATCCTAGGCAGTCAACCGTTATGCACCAAACACGGGGTAGAAACACACTTCCGGACGTCAAGAGGTCAGAACTCCGCTACCTCCAGCATCTCATCATGGCCAGCGCGTCTTTTCGCAACTTTTTCAAACGCACAATGTTAGGTGACAAAACAGCCTAAAGTCTGGCGATTGCACCCGTACATTGGTTGTGTGACGGCAAGGATCTGTTGCGCTGTCCGGGTCCCAAGTGTAAGCGCAATGGGGGACATTGAAAGGAAAGTAAGCCGAAGAAGGATGCTGACATCGTTGGTGCGAAAGGTAAACGAAACTAAAAGGGAAAAGGGCGATCTGATGTCTCGGTCTACCGTTAGGGTTTGGGTTCGTCTTGGGCTTAGAAGTGACTTTAGAGTTAGGACTCGTGTTAAGTTTAGGGATTCGGGTTAGAGTTAGGGCTTGGATAACGGTATAGGTTTACGTTATTGGACGTAAACGTAAACCATAATCCAAACCCTTAGGGGCTGGGGCTAGAGCTAGTGTTAGGGTTCCGGCAACGGTTATGGTTAGGGCTAAGATTAGGCCTAGGGTTAGGGTTTGTGTTAGGTTTAGGGTAAGGTTTAGCGTTCCGGTTAAGGTTAGCTTTAGGTTTATAATAACGTTAAGGATTACTTTCACTTTCTAGGTTATGGATAGGATTAGCGTTAGGTTCGGGATATTGCTGCTTCTCGTGCCCTGTCAGCCAGGCCTTTTGCTGGAATTCTAGGATTCCTTCATTCTTGTGGGTGAATCGCCATATATCAGGTTGTCCCTATCCGGTCTTGCTTTGCCTAATTTCTCAGGGCACAGTAGGCCGTGATCGCAGTAGGCCTTCATAAGGACGCCTGGGTCAACATGGAGGTTGATGCTGCTCGCGTTGGAGAGTCGGGCCCCAATGCATTCTCTCGTCCGTTTTGTGTTGGCCATAGCAACGGCCTCAGTGTCATCCCAATTAAATCAGGGGTCACACTCGAGTGCGTGCACAATGACGAGGTACCAATGGGTCAGTGTGAGGAGCAGTTGGTTTGTGTTCGTCAATATGGTTGCCCAGGCGTCGACCCAAATGGCAAACGTTCACGCTGGGGAAATTAGTGCATGGGATGCGATAGATCACATCGGTCTGCTGTTCTTTGGGGATATGTTCCTTTACTCGAGATAATGACGCACGCATCAAGGATACTGATTTGTGGGCATTGTTGATGCCGGACCGATTTAGCTGCTGTGCGATAACTTCAGAGGTTTCCTGCATATAGGGCAGGGAGAAGAATTTCTGCGCCACGATTCTTCCGTTTTGGGGTTGGGGCGCAGGTTGTTTCTCACACCTGGGGCCGTTCTTTGCAGAACTTTATAGGTGTCGGTTGCACTGTCCTTGTCCCAAGTATAGGCGTAATGTGAGTATTACAAATAAAATGGACCAAATAGGGATGCCAAAATCATTAGTGGGATATTAGCTAAAGCCAAAATAGAAAAAGGGCAACCTGATGTTTCGATTTAGAGGTAGGGTTAGTTTCAGGGTTTGGGATAGTGACTGGCTGAGAACTGAGTTTAGGGTTAGAATTTGTGTCAAATTTAAGGGTTCCGGTTAGCGGTAGGGTTTGAATTGCGGTTTAGGTTTACGTCTGGTGTTAAAGTTGGGGTTCTGATTAAGGTTAGACTTAGTGTTACGGCTAGGGTTTGTGGTAAGTTTAAGCTTAGTTCCGGTGTTAGGTTTAGGGTTAAAATTGCGTTAAGGATTAGATTTATTTTTGAAGTTACAATTTGGTTCATCGTCAGGGTTGCAGTATTGCTGCCACGTGTGTCCTGTCAGCCAGGTCTTTTGTGGGAATCCTGGACTGCCTTCAATCTCGCGGCAGATTTGTCATACATTAGGTTGCCTTTTCCGTTTCAGCCTCGGCTACTTTCCCAACTACACGATTTTAGCATCTTCCTTCGGCCTACTTTCCTTTCAATGCCCCGCATTGCGCTTGCACTTGGGACACGAACAGCGTAACCAATCCTTGCCGACTGCATTTTTGAGACGGTTTCTCTACTCATCAGACATTTGGGGATCGGCTTCACCCACTGACCGAATTCAACTATCTGGCATCCGACTTTGAGACCCAAAGCCTCTCCTGGGGCATATATCGGGATAGGCCACTCGTGTTTTGTCAAGTTCGATATAAGGGGTCTTTCATTGTTAAATCTGCCTTTGTTTTCTTGTAATTTTTGGGTGAGTGGCGTCGATAGGCCACCTGACTGACAGACATTGGATTGAGTTGATTGGCAAACACAAAAACTGTCTTCTTGCGCCAGGGCCTCTGATTTCATCCCCTTTCAAACACGGTCGACGTTTTTGTTGCAGACTGGTTCATAAGATTGCGTTTAGTTGTCGTAATCGACATCTTCCCGGCATGCTTATTTGATCCAGTTCGCCGGTGATACCAGCCCGCCACCGGCTCGAAAATTCACGAGCAAAACTCGATTTTTTCCGATGAGCCTTCTATCTTTATCATATTATCTCGCGATGCACACCACTTGAGTTATTCATACATATACATACATATACATTTTGGGGGTAACCATCCCATCTCTCACAAGAGGAGTACTGTCTACAGCCTGCTAAACCGTGCTAAAACACACTGCTCTGATGAATAAAGTTATCAAGCAGGAATGAAATACGTTTTCAAATTATTTTCCCACAACGGGTATCCGCGAGACTTTGTACGTCATTGCATAAAACATGGGTTTAAATAGAAAGGTATTTCGGTAACAACGGCCAGTCAGGCACCAGAAACATCCACCTGGCGAACCCTCTCATGCGTGTACCTGAGCTTGTCGAAAGACAGCTGAAAAAAACAGCAGATACAAGTAGTACACCAACCTACAACCACCTTGCGTACACAGCTTGTACACTCTAAGGACAGGGGTGGCTATCTTGACAGAAAAGGTGTTGTCTACAAAATACTATGTCCCGGCTGTGATGCCGTCTATTGTGGCCAAACTAGAAAATCTGCCTCTACCCGCATACATGGGCATCAGTTAGCGGTGGGAAGATGAGATCATCTATCCCAGGTGGCTATGCACACACTGGACACTGGGCACAAATTTGCATGGAAGAACACTTGCATTGTTGGCGCCTGCCCAATAAGGAAAGGCCGCGAATTCCTGGAGGCACTGCACTCAGATAAGACATGTATCAATCGTCATATCGATTTAGATGCCACATACAAATTACTCAAGGACAAATGGAAACGAGCGCAGCCGATGCCGAGGGGATGACGAAAAACCATTAAGGCGCATAGTCGCAGGCTTCAGCCAACCATAGAATCACTTGTTTGACACGGTTAAATAGTTAACTGTTTTTATACATAGCCCAGAAGTCTGACGACGTGCTGGGGAACCAGGCTCGAAAGTTTAGGCATTAAGGGTTATTCTCTTCCCAAAGAATTTCACTTGTTTTCAACACATATATATAATGCTATAGGGGCGATCGCCGATCGCGTATGTACATATATATGCATACAACAATAACTGCGAAGGAAGCGGGACACCTGCATAGCGCACAGTGCTGAGGGAATTTAAGGATAGGCTGACCGCAATTAAACACGGAACGTCCTCGCATCAATCAGGGCGATCTCCGGTCCCACAACTAAATGAACTGTAGTGACATTTAAGCCTATTTTGTTTTAATCAGTTATAATACGCTTGTTAAATAACTAGGCACAACTTTGAGTGAGACAACGAACTAGGACGTGCATTTTTACCTGCTGACGACTTTGTTATTATTTACTAGTTTGTAACTGTTGGGATACTTCTATCTTCGTTTCCCGGATAGTCACTTACTGTGCCCAACTAATGGGTTTATCACTCACAGAATCATCCCGCTTCTCAGCGTTGATGAAACAAAAGCTGAGTCGAGCACTTCAGAAGCATCCTCAGCCATCCATCCACGGTCTCCGACGTCGCCTTCGACCGACTTCTTCAAGTGAAAACAAACAACGACCTGGAACTTCAACCTTCTCTCGCAGAAGCTACTAAAGCAGTGCACCAACTCTCGGGCGGGAAAGCACCGAGTTCCAATGCGACCTCGGCTGAGGCCTACAAGCACGTCGGTCGTCGCGACCGTCGCTCATTTCTACAAGCGGAAAGGGAATCGGCAGTGTTAAACATCTCCGGAAGATCTTTGACTCCTCAACCGTCACGACAGCTATTTCGTGCAGAGACTTCTTCCGGAAAGCCAGTGTGGCCTCCGATACCACCGCATAACCATTGACATGATCTTTGCCGCCCGCCAAGCGCAGGAAAAATGCCATAAAATACGAACCCACCGTTGTGGGCCTGACTATAGCCTTTAACACGGGGAATGACGATGGAGCGTGGAGAGGAATGCAGAAATTTTACTGTTCTGAGTGATTCGCACGCACGGTGCATTAGCTCCACGAGTATGATGATGATGAAGATGATGATGATGATGATGATGGTGGTGGTGGTGATGATGATGATGATGATGATGATGATGATGATGATGATGATGATGATGATGATGATGATGATGATGATGATGATGATGATGATGATGATGATGATGATGATGATGATGGAGTGGAACAGGGCTGCGTACTCCCCACTCCCCCTAGTGTTTTCTGCCATGCTGGTGGACGCTGACAGTGATGGGCGTTCCCCGACTCCGAATCATCTACAGGACCGACGTCCACCTCAACAGCCGGCATCTACAAACCTCAACGCGTATCATCACGACTACCGTCAACGACCTGCTCTTCGCGGACGACTGCGCGCTCAACACCATGGCAGACGATGACATGCGACAGAGCATGGACCTCTTCAACTTCGCGGGCGTCAACTTCGGACTGGCTATCGAAACGGACAAAACGGTGGTTATGTAGCAACCGCCAGCCTAAGTTGCGTACAGGGCTCCTCGCATCCACGTTGACCGCACCCAATTAAAGATCGTGGACAACTTCGTCGACTTAGGCAACACACTCGTGGCTCGCTGGATCTCCAAGACCAGCGAAGCCTTCGGCCGGCTGCAGAACCTCTTATGTGAACTCAATCACTTCCACCTCAGTTGCCTCCATCGGATACAAAAACTGAGGTGGCAGGACAGGATCTTAGACACGGAGGTATTGGGCCGCAACGGAATCCTTAGCGTCCACATCATGCTGGGGCAACTGCAACTACGATGGAGCGGCCAACTCGTGAGGATGGACGACGAACGTCTAACAAAACAAATCTTCCACGGAGATGTCGCCATAGATGCTCGTCCAAATGTAGACCAAACCCGCCATTGTAAAGACACCTTGAAGCGGCTGCTAAATAGTCCGGAGATGTGGGAAAACCCCTCACACAACCGAGTCATCTGGAGAAAACCATTGATGATTGAAGCAGAAATCTATTCAACCAACAGTATCGCCATTTCTAAAGCTAAGAGAAGCTCGCGAGTCCCAGGTACCTATGGGCCGCAAAGTTAACCTCCAAACCCTCCGTACATGCCCGCGCTGTCAACGAAAATCCCGCGTGCGGATCGGCCTCGTCGTGAACCTCCAGACCCTATTCATCAAAAGCCAGATAACCTCAACCGCTGCATCCGATTGTCCCTAAACCAACATACACGGCGTCCAAGACAGCACCTACCATTCCCACCGGTGCTTAGCACTTTCGTACCTCGCTGCCGTCGATCACCGTCATCTGCATCGTCTCCCCCCCCCCATAACCTCCGCGACGACGAGGACGACGACAACGATGACGACAGTTACGGCTCTCATTCGTGCGACCGACCAAAACGCCCCAACGGCCTGAACTCAGTTCCAGCCTGTCCTCATTCCGATTGCATACTCATCTCACGCATCGGTCTGTTTGGTCATTTGCGAATCCATCGCACAGAGACTGGCGAGCCAACGTCGGTAGCCTCCCCCACACACACTCGTCGAATCCGCCTTCGATGTTCACTTCGTTCACTTACATTCGTATGCCTCATGAGCCTTTCCGGTCACATGCGTGCTCCGAAACAACGGAAATGTCGACACACCTAACACACCTTGCACATTCACTAATTCCCCCATTCGCAGCTCAATCAATTTCCTACCGACCAGTGCGCCCACCACCAAAAGCAGCACAACGACAACCGACCCGACATCTCCCAACCCCTCCTGCCCACACGCCCACCGCACGTTCACCTCACGCATCGGCATGGTTGACCACTTGCGAATCTATCGCACAGAGACTGGCCAACCAATGCCTGGGACGCCGTCATACACCAGACGCTACCACCAAAATTGTCAGCATTGCTCTCGCACATTCAACCGTCGCATGAGCCTCTTAGGCCACATGGGCCTCCACGAAAACCTGCAATAAATCACCGTAGGCAAAACAACATCTTCGCACATTCCCCACATGCCAATAAGCACCCACATATGAACACCTCCATCATACCACATTTACAACACCTTCCACGTAAATGGGAGGTTTGCTATTTGGCTCCTTTCTCCATGTGGGTCGTCTGCTGCATATGAAGTCCGGACGTCCCATCCCCTCCCCCGCGATAACTCGGTGCTTGTATGTATGGGAGACAGTTAGCCTTTGTGGCACGCGCGGACGACCTATTCTCAGCCCCCCCCTCCCATCATCCACCCCTCGTAATCTTAACATTAGTTGGTGCACTGGATAGAGTTAAATGAGTGATGTCGACTCTCAACGCATAATTCCTCATCATAAACAGTCTGACGCTCCTGGGCTTATCACGGTGAGCTAGAAGCCGTAGTTTAGAAAGTTGTCAGCTGATGCTTCGAATCAGACCACTCAGTTAGCGCAGCTTTGTGTTTGTGTTGAGTGGCCGACTGGTGGGATGAGAGTCAGACTGCGGTGACCCCTTCAACATGTGGCCTCTTTGGCCCTCCAACTCAGTTATATCCTAGTTGCCCCTCTTCGTTCCTCGGTGTATAATCTTAGTCAGTGTACGGTGTAGAGCAGGAGATTGTACGCCTAGGTGCCGGTTTTCGTCATGTCAGTCACCTGCGTCCTCTCTCCGCTAAACGGGCCACTCAGTAGATGTACTGGGCAAATATGGGGCTAGATCGGAGTTCGGCAGGCGTTACTGGGTATGCGTCCCCATAATAAGTGCCTAGGTGCAGACTCACGCCACGCCGATCGAGTTCCGAGTCTTACCCTTTTTTCTTTAAGTATAAAATACTAGTCAGTGTGCGTTGTGTGTTGTTTTGCGGTAGTGCGCTTACATGCGGGTGTTCGCTGTGCCAGTCACCTGCCCTCCGATCTTGACACGGCGTCCTGGTGGTATGACAAACTAACGACAGATAATAAGCCAGAAATGGCCAGTCCAAGCTCGCAGCACCTGGAATTCGAACTCGGGATCTTCGGTTATTGGGTCCAGTGCTGGGCCATTGAGTCAAGGATCCGTTGTCTAGTCGGTCGCAGTCAGGGATGCTAATAAGTATAACAAGGGCGCTCACCGACCGGGGGTTCAGGACCTACTCGCCCGGTTTTATCCTGAGGCTCAATGTAGAGTCCCCGCCGGTAATCCCACAGCAGATTACCAAGGAAGACAAGGGAGACCGAAATGCTGGTTTCTGGTTTATCAGCCATCGATAAGATGTGCTTATGTAGCCACCCATGATGGATGCAATACTGTTGGGGTTGGGGATAGGGCTAGAGGTTAGGGCAACTATTTCTCAAGCACTCGAAGTACAGTAGGTGGGCTAACTGAAATGTGAACCGAAATCCCGAAATGCGTTTTCATTTCGAAAAGATTACTTACCTTGGAGTACAAAAATAATCATCTTGCAGCGTAATTCTACAATAGTTCAGTTATATCAGGATCTCGGCTTCCGAACGAAATTCTTTCTGTTAGCATGCAAAAATTATACTCTTAAAAAAATAACTTCTTAAGCAGCATGCATTTTTCATCGATTTTCGATGCCCCTAAAAATTCAATTATATTTCATGGAAGGCGGGCATAGAAATATTCATTCTTTATTCATTCGGTAGAAAATGACGTCTTCTTTCACTTTTGTACTCTAAGAAAGTTTATAATTCGGTTTTCAAAAACTTTTCCAATTGCCGAAAAATTCTGGACCCGACCCGCCGTCAGACTTGCATTCAGGGTTTCAAAACTACAGGTCCTATATTTTTCCGTGGACGAAAAACCATACATATCTCTACCGTATTATAGGAGCTATATGGGCTACATAAAAGTTTATAGTGGATTTAAGCTATATTGTGCACTCTACAAGCCACATTAGCAAATGTAGACACACGAGGTTTAGTGAACAGGCACGTCACGGTATTAAAATACCTCATAATTTGAAACTTTTTGAAAATCGAATTATAAACTTTTTAAAGTACGAAATTAAAAGAAGACGTTATTTTCTACCGAATGAGCAAAATATTGAATACTTTTGTGCCCGCTTTCCGCGAAATATAATTGGATTTTTAAGGGCATCGAAAATCAATAAGAAAAATGTATGCTACTTAAGAAGTCATTTTTACAGAGTATACTTTCCGCTTGCTGACAGAAAGAATTTCGTCCGGAAGCCGGCATCCTGAGGTAAATGATTTGTTATAAAACCATGCTGCAATGTGCTTAATTTGCAATCCTCCGTAAGTAATCTTTTCGAAACAAAAGCGCATTTCGGAATTTCGGTTGACATTTCATGAGTTAGTCCACCTACTGTATAACCGCGCATTCTCAATTGCCTCGTCGTCTGTGCGTCCCACGTCCATACCTGTAAAAACCCGTATTACCACCGGTCCCGTATTAGAGGTAGCTGGGGTCTCTTAAATTCACGTGGGGCTACACACCACATTTGACCTAGTCATCATCAGCCATCCGTGTCCGAGCCGTGACGAGACGAACATGTCTCGTAACCCTGATCGGCGAGTGCCACACTATCATAATTGATACTCTTGATCACAACCGAAAGAACAATCGGCCCGTGTGGTACCCTGTGGCCAAAGCTACCGGATCGGAATATTAGGTGAGTTTGGCTTGCGGATGACGGCTAATAAGGCAGGAACGACTTTTCCGATTCCCCTTGTCTTTATCAGTATCTCATTGTCACTATATACTGCTAGTCGTCGGAAAACGCCTCTGAGGGCTCTCGACTGGGCGAGGCAATTTGCAATCCATTACGTCACGACACTTTCAGGAAGACAGGACGGGACGCGAAAACGAATCATACGAAAGTAGATAGTCTTGCTTTCAAAGAGTGTAAAATAGCATGAATAGCTTTAAGTCGTCTACAGGCACTTTTATGACCCAGTTATCATTGCTGCAGTCTATTTTACTTAAAACTTAAACGCGACTCGTTAATTCCTTACGCGTCATACCAATGCTCGTAGTGGTTGTGCATCCGACCCGCCTCGTCGCGAACAGCAGCCAATAAGATATTTTCCCGCGCGTTACGCTAAATGGAGCATCTGCTGGAGCCAAACCGTATCTCAGTCATCGGCCAAAGTCCAAAGTTGACGCTTCCAGCTTCATAAATGACATGCAAGTACCTGCAAAATTGTGTTCCTACTCCTGCGCATACCTTCACTTTGTCGTATTTGTTTACCTGGTTTTTAGAATGGACATAAGTAAGTTTAACAGCGTGTCGCCGACAAATTTGAAATTAGTACTTTTGGCCTTGGATAATCAGTCTGCGGTTCACAATAAGCCTACCAGCTGAATGCAGAGAGAAATCAAAGTCAACAGCTCGTTGTTCAGAGGATATTTCTCGAAATCTGAAAAATACTAGACAGAGAAGGGCTAATCCTAATATGTTCTGCTTTCTTTGCTAAAGTAATCTTAGAGAAGTTCTGCAACCGCGAAACTGAATATTACGCGGTTACCCGCTGTAACTGATGGATTTTGATTTAAATATTCATATGCAAATATCTCGGTCTGAGCCTTGAGACCTAGAATATACTGATCTACTCCAAGTTCGCAGTTAATTTCTGGGGAAATAAAAAAGCTACAATTTCCATATTGAAGAACCTACTGGGAGGCAGACGGGAAATGATGTAGGGCCCACTGATGAGCCAATCAATTGGCAGCTGTATCGTGCGATGGCAAAATATCGACGAAACACGCGTGCGTGGGCTTTTGGCTACTATCTGTGCTATTAGTATGGAATGATCTTAGCCTAAAACATCGAGAATGTGTACACAAAATGCAGCCAGCAGTTTTAACTGAAATCAACCATGTGGTCCTATTTTGTGTGTCCTCGTTTTGATCTTGAACGCGTTTTTAAGGCTGACAAACGTTAGAAGGAGCCGATATATACGTCCTCGACTGTAGGGATTTTTCAGATATTTTCGCAACATGTACGAGATAGATCAGTTTCGTAAGCCCACTTGTTCACAAATTAGGAAATACTTGGACGAACCACTCGGAAGCACACCGTGCATTAGCAAAAACAATAATAATTTGTGCTTTCCATATGTTCGCCAGCGCATACAGTAGAATTGTGAGGTACGTGTTCGACCACCATATTGTGTCAGAACATGTACTAACAGATAAAAACGAGGCCTGCCTGTCAGAGGAACGAAATGGTTAACCGGTGCATGCAGCAGTAACGAAATCTGCCGAATAATCGAAATTCAAACTCATGTGTGCAGACGTACAACAGCTGCCTCCTCAAACTTTGCGATGTGGTAAAATAACATAGGATAAAAGGTATGTTTATTGTAAAAGGTAAAAATACGAAAAATCAGCTCCTCCAGTGGAAGTGTGTAAGGTCTTATCTGGCGTTCTCGGATTTAATTGCAGATAACTGAAAAAGAAAAGGACGTGAAGAGTAGCCTGACAACCCAAAAGCAGCATTAAATGTGTAAGGTACCTACTAAAATGCAGGTCAGCATACGTTTGCTTTTAGCTGATTTGGATACCAACTCGCTATCTCAGTGTATCTTTAGCCAAATGACGTAGATTAAAACGATGTCGGCTAAGCGTAGTTTCTCACTTTCTGTTAGGGAGAAATGATTACTTTAGGGACGGTCAACAAAGTATTCGAATAAACAATTAAGGATGGTTTGACCGATTTTTAAATTGTGACCTAAAGCTATACAGGATTGCCGGGAAAGAACATTACAACCTACAGGTTAGTGCTGACCAGAGTGGTAAACAATAATGAAGTGGAGAAACAAGTAACGAATATTTGCGGTTTTATGTGGATCCAGACCAAAGCAACCAGTACATAGACCCCTTACGAAGACTGTTAATTTGCAGTAATACGTAAAATTCGGAAGTTAGATAAATGTCTGATGGTCTTTTACATTTATTTATATATTTGTGTGCACTGTTGAGTCAGTATCACAAAGCTGGTGAGGTCTTATGAACTTTGCACAACGCAGTGAGGATTATGACGCGCTTACTGATGATTTAGCCAAAGCGTATCGGCGCCGTCGATTTGAACGACCGCGGCGTAAATCACGACTGTCATGGAACCAGGCGATTATGGCCTTTTGTATCGTATTTTGGTCGGAGTCGGAAAACAGAGCATTGCGAGAAATAGCGTCTGGGAATTACACATAATTGGAAGACCTACTCATAAGTACTGTATATAGGGGCGAATTACGGAACGCCGCTTTGTGTGGGGTGCCGGCCCACGAAAATTTCGATGCCAAGGAAGGCGCAATCAAGGCAGAAAGTAATCGCCTGACAAATTTCGTGGTAGAACTGCCACCTATAATGGCCAATTTCCGAGTCTACATGGTTTCACCATAACTAGCATGATTACTGTGCGCTCCAAAAAGTCTGTGTCTGTTAGCTGAGCACAGAAGCTTTCGCACGCCTCCGTCGTTGCCAGTGGAATAGGCAAGCAACCCTCTGTATTGTTTGCATGGTCAGCTTGCTCTAATTTGACCAAAATCATATTCTGGGTGGTTTTAATTTCTTTGAGCTCCTCATTTAGACGTATCACACTCTCACAAAGGAAGTCCAATGAATCCCTGAGGAAACGTTTAAGCATGGTATGGCGTTACCGTAGATCTAAAAGGCCTGACTGAATACTGCATCCCTTGGTCTCAGAACATCTGTGTTCAGCCGGATTGGCGACCCATTGCTGTAGTGTGTGCTTAGGTTCGGGTTGCGCTGGTACTTTAGTCTCGCTTGCATTCTTCGAACCAACATGCAGGATCTGAGCGCTATGAATGGAATTAAAAGATGGCAAGGTGTACTTCCTGTGGTTGCCCAGGTCTATCTGTTTTGGACAGAAACCACAAGGAGTGGACTCATTATGCAGTCCCGTCTCGGGGCTTTCAGTCTGTTTTATGGCGCAGTCCTGATGGGTTGTTGCACCCGACGACCGCGGCACATCTGCACAAGGATATTCCTTTATTCGCATCCGAGGGACATCTGGCCGAAGAATATCCAGAAGTAGACTGTCACATGACAGGGGATCTTCCATCTTTGAAGAACTCGACTTGGGGTAAGGTACATCTAAACTGCATCCTGAAGCGCTGGTTCCCCCGATGGCAGTGGCTAACGGTAAGGTGTTATTCAAATAAAGTGGTCAAGTCCTTAGTACCGTCTGGGCACAACGAACGCACTTCAACAATGTTTGGGGGAGAGTTTATTTGTAAGTTAGTTTCTCGAATTTGCTGCTGGGTCCGAGAACGCCTTCGTTCATAGTACGCGCGCGTCTGTTGCAAAATCCGTCTGGCTGTTGTTCTCCGTCCGATCACAAGGTAGGATGGAACCATTTAAATAGCCCGACCTGTTACATTATACCTCGATAGAGTAGCAGGAACTATGGCTGAGGAAGCAAGCCAAATATTGAGCAGAATTTTCACTGCGCGTTAAGTCGGCAATTGTACGGAAATCGAAAAAGAGCGACCAAAGCACCGCTAAAAATAATATGACTTGAAAAGGTATAACAAAGGGTCGAAGAATTGGGATGTCGAACAGAATATTTCTAAATTGAAGTTAAAGTGCTTAGTAACAGATTCTGGAATTGCGTATTACACTTTAAACAGTCTAAACTCAATCAAATATGCAATATAAATTGGCAAAAAATCCAGACCGACCGATTGTTCTTCGAGGGCGAGGTCGACAATTTTTGATCATCAGTTTCATGATTAAATTCTAAGATTTCAGAATAACAAACCAAGTTTCTGCAAAATTCGACCACCTCTGCCCTAAACTGGTGCTAGGGATAACGGCGGAAACCTTGAAACCAGGGCTTTTGACACGCCTACCGCAAGAAACGGAGCTATTGCCGAGGTGCCATGATCGACAGTGCGAAGATTCCAAATTCATAAGTCAGGGGATATGCATTTGGTTAACAAAGCCATACTTTGACGATGGAAAGGGTACAGATAACTCGGCAGTCAGTTGCAGCAAAATCGCCTTTTCAGGCATGTGTTAGCTTTCTAGATTCTTAGTTACTTGCACGTGAGTGCACCATGGCTCTGTCTGTCTCCAGTCGGTCAGCAAAGGGCGCAGCGTCAAATGGCCCCGAACGCTTACCAGCTAATGCATAGTCATGCACGGCGCCAGCAGCGAACTGGCAAGGAGCGGGAGACGAGGAGACGCGTGGCATGAGTAAGAGGTAGCGTTGGCAATCGCGAAGGCCGACGGCCGCAAGGTCAACAGGACGATCCAACAGGCACCGCAAGCAATCAAAAGCCCAAACAAAATGAAACCATGTGTGACAACGGGTGACAACGGGTGACAAACTTAGGATGTAGACCAAGAGTTGGATATGGACATGGTCAGTGAGACAGGAGCACAAGAGAGCCTAAACAATCTAAAACTTGAACACGAGCGTAAAATTTAGAAGGCAGTACTGTGGTTTTCGTTGACATAATTATAACAACCTCAAGAGGCACTAATATATGCAGGGTACAACTTGAATATTTAAGCTCGCAGATGGCCGTAATCTACATAACGCCCTGCACTAGTAGCATGCTCTAGCTTATGGGAAGGCATGAATCATATAGCATATCGGCCCGCACGGGCGCTTTAAGGAACTTCTTCGTCAGAAAATTCTGACATTGGGTCGTCATGCATGGGACGGTTACGAACCCAGAATTATTCAGCAGGCTAAAGAGAGGCCCGTGATCCCGGTTTATTCTATCAACAGTCGGAAAGAAACAAAACCAGTTTCGTTAGAAGCACACGCCAAGAGCTTGAACTTACATAATCCCCAGCGCCGTTTTGGAAAAAGAGCTGCACGGTCGTAAAGTGGTTTATTTACGGGACCCGAACAGTATGTCAGTGGAGTTCTAAAAGATCTGGCAAGATTACTTTCCGGACCACTGATGTATACCTGCCAATAGCCAGTTGAATCGGGGAGATTGCGATTGGAATGGAAGACAGCAAATCTCCACCCGATATATAAGGGCGTAGCGCGAACCAGTATCAAACGAAATTGTCCCGTCAGTCAAACCTGCGCACTTCCAACTTGGTTCCAAATTTACGACGTCCAAGAATCTACTTTATCGAGACTTCGGTCCATTGGAGACTGTTGTAGCCCGACAGTATTAACAACTGGATTCGACTCAGCAATGCCGTCATTGTCAAAAATTTCCAACAGATTTTTCACAAAACGCGAACTTCGACTAGACACCGATTTTGCTGCCAACGAGACCGAAAGGACTGACTTTCATGCTGATGAGACACCTGGAAAACTTCGGAAGAGGCTGAGTTACTCTTCTGAACGTAGTCATTGCATAAAGTTTCTCAAAAATTGTCATAGGATGAAACAAGCGAAATTACGTAAAATTCTTTCTCCCTCGTACCTAAGGCAAAAATGACTATCTGAAGGTTTCTTCTCGTGGATATACAAAAAGTTGTGCATAAAAGTGGATTCTAAAATCAAACTGCAACATGATAGATCTCCGGGAGCCTCACGGACAAAAGCCAGCTCAGATGATTTTTGCACCATCGCCCAACAAGCGTCGAGGCGTCCTAAAAACCTTATAATTTGGTTATTGCCGACGTATGTGGAAAATTCCTGCGACAGTTGTCTACTACACCAATGTCTCCTATACAATGTCTCCTTTGATGGGACCCCGACGGGTCCTTAATAAAAATTATTATTATTATTATTATTACAAGCTCAGCCGCATAGGGGTAGGAGGCAAGCTTTTGAATTGGATTGAAAACTTTTTGATCAATCGATCTCAGACTGTCCGTCTTGGTGGCCGGCAATCGGCAAAGGTAACGGTTACGAGCGGAGTGCCTCAGGGCTTCGTTCTCGGCCCTATCCTCTTCCTCATCTATATTAATGACTGCATTCGTGGTTTGGACTGCGACATTGCTAAGCTTGCTGACGATATAAAGCTTTGGACCGTCATCCGCAACGAGAACGATGAAGCAAATCTACAGGCAAACTTAGGCCGACTCGAACAATGGTCAGGCCAATGGCTCCTCTCATTTAATGTTGCCAAATGCAACATTTTGGGAATTGTCAGAACCAGCTCTGCGCACCGGAAGACGTACTATCTAAATCACACACCGCTGCCAGTGGGTGATGTTGAGAAGGATCTAGGTAAGTGAATGGCATCTTCACTAAGGCCATCATTCCACTGCTTGAAAGCTGCGAAGTCCGCAATGTTTAGCTTATATCTAATCGAGCGGGCATTTGCGAAGTTCGATGAAGAGGGCTTTTGCAAGGACTTCGGGAGGTTTGTGCGCCCACAGTTAGAATTTGCCATTCAGGCCTGGAGACCCTGGTCTGTCGAAGATCGTTCCACCCTCGAAAATGTCCAGCGACGGGCAACCAAGCTTGTCAGACGTCATAAAAACCTACCTTACGAAACTAGACTGTCAAATCTTAACCTCTTTCCCTGGACTACGGACGACTGCGTGGCGACTTACTTAAAACATTTCGAATGCTACGGGGTCAGGATTGTTGCCTCGCATCCGGTGACTTTTTTGAGCTGGCCACCACTACTAGATTGAATTCAGTTATTATTTGAGAGGACATCCTCTGAAACTTCGTGTGACAGGGGCGAGACTGGACGTAAGGAGGTCCTTCTTCAGCCACAGAGTGGTAAAGGCATGGAAAGCCCTGTCTGTGGACGTCGTCACGTCCTCACCCGTGGACACATTTAAGAGGAAGCTTGACCAGTACAGGGATATGTAACTCCACGGAATCAGCAACTAACAAATTTCCCCTTTACCACCCGCCCCAAGGTTGTACGTGACGAAGCATGCTACACCCTATACTTAAGTAGCATTACTTTATTATTTTTGTCATCTCCTGACCGAAGCATATGCGCCTGCCTCGATATTCAATTCAATTCAATTCAATTATTTTATTAAAGACCCGTCGGGGTCCCATCAAAGCAAGTAAAAATAAATTTACATGCAAATTTTAGACGATGTAGGCAAAATCTGCACAAAATGCAATGCATAGTTTTTGAGGTTAGAAGTCCGTTAAGCAAAATGAAAATGAAAAAAAACGAGGGGCGAAAAAAAACTCCAACGCAAAATTTAAAAATTATTGTAGTAATTTAACAGGAGAAAAAAAACCGCAGAAAAATAGCATCAGAAAAAATAGGGAGGACTGGCCTGCATGTGGCGGTACAAAATGGAATAAAGCCCGACATCAACATGGCCGAAATAGATGTCAGCTGTATATGGCATTGTGTAACGGATTTCATAAAATGGTACGTAGGCGGGTCGGTCAGGACTGGCCTGTATCGCC